TACAAAATGGAAATTAAGCAAAATACTATACGTAAAGTGCTTTACACAATGTCTAGCATGAAATATATGTGTGATTCATGAATACCAGGGTTACTAACATAGACTCTGGAGGCAGGTATCCTGGATTCAAATCCCAACTCAACTACGTACTAATTGGTCAAGTTACTCAAATTCTGAGTACCTCTGATCCTTCATCTGTAACCAGAAATTTAAGCAGAGAATTATAGAGAGGGTGTATACTATCTAACTTTTCAAACTTTCAAAATCAAAGCCATGATTAAGGCTTTGCTGCTAACATTGGCAGAGAGCTGCCGATTCACACATCTTGGCTAGAATAACTGGAGTCCCACGATTTTAACTGGGTTTTTGATTGTTCGTAACAAAAAAAAAAAAAGGGAGGAAAGAAAGAAAAAGAGAAAATTACATTCACTGGTGCTAGCTCAAGAAAGCAGGGGTTATTGTAGGGACATGGATGGTAGATAAGGCTCTCACAGGAGCTCAGGGAGAGGGACCTTGTCGGCAGGCTTGACGGAAACTGTAACAGGAACTGAGGCAGCATTTGCTGTCTTCCTCTCGGAGGTGGGTAGATCTCTTTGTTCTTCACGTTTCTGCTTTTCTCGGCATCCTCATTCCATTCTATTCTTGAAACCGGCCGGCTTCATATAACTCTACTCAAGCATCATTTCTGATTGCTAATAATCCCAGCTTGCCTTTCAAGGCTTCTCCAGCCTTGAATCTACACCATGATCTTATAGCTTGAGTTTTCCCACCTAAACGTTTCAGTCTTTGATTTTGCCAGTTCCAGTTTTGTGAGAAGGACGATTGACCCAGCTTTTCTTTTCAAGCCAGATCACTGGCTATAGTATGAATGGACTTGGGTCAGATGGCTTCCACTGATCCAAAGAGCTGGGGTTTGGGGGACTTTTATTCATGTGGGAGAGGGAAATTTCCACCAGCAGCAGATGTGGGTGGAGTAGGAAGTTAGTGATATTTCTAGTATCTCCACTGAAAGATGGAGGTCATGGAGTTTATACTCAGAAATTTAAGAATCCACTTGAATTTATTCTCTGTATTAGAAGAGACAGGCTACTCAGAAGTTTCTTGTTTGGGGCTAATAATCGAAATAAGAATTTTGCTCCAGGATATATTCTAGGACCCTGCTACATGAAGCGTGGTCCCTGGACCAGCAGCCTCAACATCACTTAGAAGCCTGTTAGAAATCAGAACCTCGGGCTCCATCCACACCTATTAAATTAGAAACTACATTTTAAGAAGATTTCCACATGATTCATATTCACATTAAAGTTTGAGAAGTGTGGTTCTAGGATGAATTGGTTTTATGTAGACCTTCTAAAAGCTACCAAGGCCTTTTACTAAGAAACTTCCAGTAGTGTGCTATAGCCATGTGTTACGTTGTCAGAATTTTGTGAGCTGGCTGATTCTACGTTTGGTAGCTTGAAATCAGCTATTCTGGGAATACTTACATCAAGGATATTGGCAAATACTATATATTTATGTCTTTTGTACTGGAGAGACATTGTTAAACATTTACCAGCAATCCACTGGACAGTTCTAAATCTCCTAATTCAATCTGGAATTAAAACAGTCTCCTCGGGGTTGTTGGACAGAGAAGTGCCCAAGTATGGAGGGACAAGACAAAATGAGTTCCAGTTCCTCACCAAACTTTCAACCTTCTTAGAAATCATTATTCTAGATAGTGATTTATTTATTAAAAATAATCTGAGTATGAAGTACAAGGAGGGAAGGGAATCTAGAAGTTAGTAAGACTGAAAATCCAGATAGGCAGACCTGCAGACATTGGGAATTCTCCTAGCTGGACAGTTTGGGAGCTGAAACCCAGATGTGGAATAGCAGCTTCTGTGTAGAGGAGAAGATAAGAGTGGGTAGATTCTGGTCCTGGAGACATACTACATGGGGAAATTCATGCTTCTGTTGTCTGTATTATACCAAGTATAAAATTAGTAAATAAAACAACTCCTCCCCAAATTAATGGTAGGTATGGATGGGAATGTTTCATGGTATGTATACATAAGGAGTGGTTTTTAAAGTGTGGTCTCTGGACTAGGACATCAACATCACCAAGAACCTATTATAAATGCAAATTAATGGGCCCAATGCAGGCCTACTGGATCAGAAACTCGGGGGAGAGGGGGAGCACAGCAATCTGAGTTTCAACAAGCCATCTGGGTGATTCTGATGCACACCACTGAAGTAGGAAATGTCATCGAGTTCCTGATTTTTGTCCAATCAGAGAATCTGTTTTCAACTAGAACCCTAAATAGGAAGTGACTCTTCTTGCAAAGGAGTTTCTAGCTCAAGTGGAGGATAGTTGAGGAAGGCAGAGAACACAGATGACAAGAACTGCAGGGCTAGACAAATACTGAGAAACTTTTCCCAGGGAATTAGCCAAGCAGCCAGACAGCTGGCATGTTGCCAAGACTCCTGGAGACTATAAACCTTCCTAGAAATCAACTGGGAAAAGTTTCTTTAAAGTGAACTTTGAGCAAGTACATAAATACAGCCTAAAGATTTTCTGCAAATACTACTAAAAGTTCTCATACAAAGAAAGTGACACCTTAGTGACATGTAGGAGCAAGAACAGCATGTTTCATATTAAGAAATATGATATTGGAAGAAAGGGCATTCGAGTAGCTTATTCATTTTGCCTCTCTGGTTAAGAGCTCTCCCTGGTTCCTTAGTAATAACAACACTGAACATTTAATTAGTGTTTACTCTGTGCTAGGTATGGTAGTACTTCAGTAAATTATCTCAGTATTAGCCCCATATCACAAATGAGGAAACTGAGCCCAGAGAGGTACAGCATCTTGCCCCAGGACACACATTTAGCAAGTGATGATACTGGGATTCAAACCCAGGGAGTTTTGCTCCAGAGCACCACTGCTTAACCAAAATGCCCTATTGCCTCTCTTCAATGAGAACCTCATTATGTATTAAATAGTTAGAGGCTTGGAGTTCCCAGTTAAGAGTGTGGATTTTTCTAGTTTTTACAAGTCTTAGGCTAAATAACCTCCTTGTATATTATTATATATAGATAACTAGACTCTGGACCTCACTTGACTAATGCTATCAAGTTCTGGTGCCCAAAGTGGGCAATCAGGTAAGCTGCACAGTGTTCTGGTGCCTAAAGTGGGCAATCAGGTAAGCTGCACAGCTATAAGACAGGCATTCCTTTAATAAGGCTATGACTACAAGCTTACCACATGTCACTCTGAGTCCCAATATAGGGTGTTTAAATTCTTGTTATAATAGGAGATACAAAGAAGCACACAGACAGGGGCCAATTGATCCCAGCTATGGAAAGGTAGGGACATAGAGTCTAAAGACCAGCAGCTCTACTCTGGCTGTTTTTGTCTGAGGAATTAGGGAAACTTACTCTAATTCTAGCGTTTAGCCTTATATGAAATTCATTTTTAAGCATGATGAGAGCAAAGGTTGTGTTGGTTTTATTCCCATATCTATGCATAGCCATGCACACCGCTTGGCAAGGGGCAGGCACTGATATATTTGTGAAAGGAAGAGAGAAGGGGAAAGGTAGATTCAATCGCTTTGAATTTTTTTGTTATAACAGCCATATATGGGTGTGGAACTTCTGAAGTAACTGCTTAGGTGTCGACAAGGCATGACAATGAACTAGAAAAATTATTCTTCATGGAAATGAGTATAATATACAAATACAAGATAAAGCATTTGTTAAAGTCCTACTGTGATCCAGTCCCAAGGGCAGCTTGATGGAAGCAAGTTTGCAGGCTTGCTATTCTAATTGAGTCAATAATTCATGCTTGCATATGATATTTATTTATTCAACATTTATTGAGAACCTCCTATGTGCCAGGTGGGTAGTATATGCTGAGGTTACAAAAATAAGTTAAGACAGGATTTCTGCCCACAAGAGCTCAGATGATTAGTGGGGAAAACACACTGTGGTGATGGTCACACAACTCTGTGAATATATTAAAAACCACTGAATTGTACCCATTAGATTAGTGAATTGTATGGTATGTGAATTATACCTCAAAAAAAAACTGTTCAAAACAAACACATAAAAACAGTTATAAGCTTTGGGTACTATACAAAACCAGAACGAGGTGGCCAAAACTCAGCCTGGGAAGGGAGGAGGGAGGCTTCATCAGTGAATAAAGCCTGACCTGAAATCTTTTTTAAAAAGTTACCTAGGAGATGTGATACAAGACGTTCCAAACACTGGGGACAGAATGAACAAAGTCATGGAGGTGAGAAGCCATGTATGTGTGTGGGGGCGAGAGGGGGTGTGATGTTGGCAGGAGGTTGAGGCTGGGGAGGCAGGCAGAGGCCAGAAGCGAGCTCCAGAGGTAGTCACGGGAGGGTTTTATTTAAAGTGGGAAGTGATATAATTCGCGCTCAGATTTGTTTTAGATAAACCACACCAACTGCTGTGACGTAATGGAAAGGATACTGATTCCTTTTTTTTTTTTTAGTCAGAATAACTTGTGCGTAGGTCTTAGATCTGCCATTTAAAAACTAGTCGTATTATATAAATTTGTCAAGTTTTATTACTCAATGATCCTAATGGCACAATTTGTCAGCAGGAGAAAATGTAAAGCTGATTAATGTTAGATTAATTTAAAATCACGCTGATCTTAAGATAACTTAAAAAGGAAGTTTGTTGTTGAGTGGGACACCCACCTTGGGCGGTAGTGGAAAGCCGGGCTAATTTAAAAAAATCTTTACAAGGCTGGAAACGTGGCGGTGGAATCTGGTGAGATTCTTCAGATTTTCAGTTTTTCATGCTTTCTGCGTACTCTCAAAATCTATTAAAATGATCGTTCTGAGTATATGTGCAGAATCAAAAAGGAAAAAATAAAAGGGAATGAAATAGTTGGAGCATCGCCAACAGATCGTGTGCATTTTCCAGGGAGGGCAGATTCCCCTTTAGATGGTTAAGCTGTAGTACCGGAACCACGGAACACGGGATCCCGGGCAGCACGGAGGACTGCCGGGAGCACCGCCACGGGGCACCCGCGCTGCGCGCCCTCCCCCACCGGCTTTAAAGCCTGCTTTGAGTCCAGCCCCTTTCCTTTTGCTCCTCGGAATCCCTTCCCCCTCCGCCACTTCCGGATGGGAACCCTTTTAAACATTCTTTCAAGTTGAAGCGTGGGACCAATTTCGTCAACACTTTCCGGAGTGAACAACATGGCGGCGGCCGCAAGATTCCTCGGTAGAGGTAAAGCGAAGGGTAGTCAGGGCTTGCGGGGAAAATAACTCTGGTGTGGGGTCTTCTGTGATAGCAGAGTGCAAGCCGGACTCTCCTAGGTGCGGCTCTGCACTGGTGGCTCCATAAGCCTCTACTCTTTCTGGGCTCTAGATTTTCCAGAGGGTCGTTACTACTTAAAAGCGACCTTGTCAGAGGTTTCACTCCTTTCTGTAGTTGTCCACCCTAGGAGTGGAGTGGGAGGGGGATGTACTTTGTCACCCCTCCAGCCACCCGCAGAGGTGGAGGCAAAGACATGGTTTTATCTCCGATACTGTGGGTGTGAGCTGCGGGGAAAGGCGTTTGACACGTGAAGTGAGTTCTGGAATGGAAAAGGTGTTGCATTTGAGTGGCTCATATCCGTAAACTTTTACAGTTTACAGAATGCTTGGTTCTTTCTCAGCACATCGTTGCAGGCACTTCCAATTCTTAAACTCCCAGGCGTTGTCTAATTTGGGTCAGCATTCATCATTTGGAGGCCAATTTTGTAGTACTTCTTGGTAGCAACCCTTTAGAGCATTTACAAGGTCCAGTTTGTTGGCTAGGATGACCATAGTTTTTGGGTACAGTACTTAACATATTTTTGTTTTGTGTTTTTGAAACACAGTGATATATATTGTTATTAATTATGGTGGATCTTTAGGTGGAGGCAGCAGCCGAGATCACCCCTGTTTTACAGAGGAAGAAACTCATTCTGTTGAGTATGTGGCCAAGTTCATAAAACTAGTGAGTGGCAGTGGAAGACTGAAACTTTACTCCTAGGTCAGTGATTGATTGATTAATTTAACAGAATCGTAGTTTTCTCTGAGCTTCTCACAGAAAAGCTTAGTGTAAAGACCAGCATTCTCTATTTGGGATAGTTGTTGCTTAAAAAATAGGGGTGGCAAGAGAACACAACAGACCTTGACAACTATTAGCTCACTGCAGCTACCTTCCAAGCTACAGTCTACTCTCAACAAATATTTAGATTGGTCCTTTAAGAACTTAAATCATGCCACTCCTATGCTCACCTATTTTTCTAAACCAAAGTCCTTAGAATGGACTACAGCTATGCTGTCCATTTTGTTATCCACAATTGAGCACTTCAACTGTGGCTAATTCGAAATGAGTATGTCAAATTCACATTAGATTTGAAAGGGTTAGTACCAAAAAAAGTGAAACACTTCAATTTTTTTTATATTGATAATGTGTTGGAATGATAGTATTTTGGGGTATTAGCTGTAATAAAATATGTTAAGTTTTATTATTAATTTCATTTTAGTCTTTTTTTTCTACCTTTTTTGATTGTGGCTATTAGAAAATTTAAACTTATATATGTGGCCTTATTATTATATTGGCCTAGGGTCTTCCACATCATGAGGTACCTGTCTTCTCTCACCTCCACTCATCCAGCATACCACTCCGACCTCTCCAGCTACCCACTCACTGTGCTCTAGCCACATTGGCTTCCTAGTTCCTTAACCACACAAAGAACATCCCTTCATAGGAAGGGCTTTTTCTCCCAAGTGAAGTGGACCTGGAACACTTTTTTTTAAAGATATTTGCATGACTGACTTTCTTATTTCTTTCAAGCTTTTGCTCAAATGTCACCTTTTTAAGGAGGCCTACCTTAACCTTTTTATTTAAAATTGCAATCCACTTTCCCTCTTGATTCTCAATTCTTTTTACCCAGTGGGGTTCCCCTTACCAATACCATTTTATATTTATTAGTATTGTCTCCCCCCTACTAGGATGTAAGCTCCAAAAGGAGGAGTTTGTTTGTTTTGTTCACTAAGTGCTTAAAGCAGTGCTAGTGCATGTTTCCTCAGCATATTCATTGTTCAACAAATGAATGAATAAATACACGGATCTTCAACAAAATGCCACCCTTCTTCCATATGTTGAAATGAATAATATTTAAAGTAATTTGAATCCAATTTTTGCTCATTTGTTCAGATTTCCTTCCTTCACTCAACAGATGTTTATCGTGTCTTCATTTGTCAAACACTGTGTTATGTGTTAGGGACAGAATGGTGAACAAGCTATATACATTCCCTGGCCATAGTGCTTATCATCTATTGAAGAGTAGACGTTAATTTGATAATTCTTTAATTACAATTTTCCTGCGTGGTTGTGAAGGAAAAGTACAAGGTATTGTAAGAGTGTATATGAGAGGCCTTAATCTATTCTGAGTCTTCAGGGAAGACTTTTCTAAAGAAGTAGCTTAAACAGAGTCCCTGAAAGGTCACTGGATTTTAATGAATTAGCTATGAGAAGAGGGGCGTGGAAAGTGGTAGGGGAGAATCTCACAAATGGAGGGAAGATTATATTTGAAAGTCTGAAGGTTGTGAAAAACACGATGTGTTCAAGTAACTGAAAAGGAGGCCAGTGTATTTGAAGTGTGGCAAGCATGAGAGAGTGGTGTTAGGTGAAGCTGACTAAATAGATTAGAAATAGCTCATGGAGGATCTTGTTAAGAATTTACTTTATTCCGAGGACAAAGTGAGACCATCCAAATGTTTTAAGAACATGATGAGATTTTTGTTTTTAAATCATCCCTTTTATTAGTAGGTGGAAAAGAAATGGAGAGGGCCAAGAGTAAAAGAATAGTTTGGAGTTTGTTGCAGTAAGCCAGGTAAATGGTGGATTATGGTGCTTATAGTGGGGAGGCAAAGACTACGTGCGTAAGATCTCCTGGGGAGAGTGAGGATTATAGAGTTAGGTTGAGAAGTCCTGGGGAATCCTAACATTTCACTATCAAGTTTAAGAGAATCAGCTTGTAAAGGAGGTGGAGTAGTTTCTATCTCATTGCCCTGGGGTAGGGGTGGGGTTGCCTTTTGAGAATGAGTGCAGATTCAAATAGGTTTTTAAATCGTTGAGGAAATTCTGAGGACTTCTGTTTTCTCTGAAGTAGCAAGTGAGGTTATCTGCTAAGTAAGAGAAGAAATATGTTAAAGAAATATCATCAAATACTACAGATAGACAAATTGACTATAGAGGGATTGAAGATACAGATCTCATGGTCTAACAGTGCTATTTAAATAGTGGTATTTTTGTAATTTGATTTTCCTTAGTCTGTAACAGTTTTGATTTCTGTTGAGAATGTTAATTTCTGGTAGTCATGACTGGGGAATCTAAAAGTAGTGGTTAATTATTTATAGCAGGTTGCAATTGATGCATTCAAGAGAATTATTATTTTGAAGATCTTGCCAAGGTTATTGGGTTCTTATTCAGTGCAATTAGAATTATTTTTTGGAAATGTTTGCCAAATCTTGAATGGATAATTGCTCTTTCATTTGTCACATGTGATTTTTCGAGGTAGCTGACTCCTTTAAAAATGTGGAGGATCTCCTCTTAGACTGTTGCATACCAGCAGAGCCCACTAAATTTGAGATTTTGGAGGGCAGGAACTGGATCTCAATAGTCTATTTCCCTTTTTCTTTCTAGCCATTAAAGCCCCTTGTTGCTTTTGTGCCACAAGGAATTCCCAGTAATAAACAAATCTCCTATACTGCCCCCAAATGTCGTACCCATATGTTCATAGACTTCACGGTTTTGGTGGTTTTCTTGTACTTCAACTTTGTTTTGGAAGATTAGAAATGAAACAGAGTTGTTAGGCATTTGGCTTTGATGACATTTGAGCTGATGATAAAGAGTAGGCCATGGGAAAATGTGGAGATGGTAGATCCTAGTCAAATGTAACATTAAATGTAAAGGCCCTGAGACAGGAATTGAGGGATTTGAAGGATTCAAGGATCTGAGAAAAGGGTTTTAGTGAGCAAGTAGGTGAGTGGTATTGAGTGATAAGCAGGGATGTCTCACATAGGGCCTTATAGACCACAGTGAAGACTTGGTAGCTGTTCCGTGTGCCCAGTGCTCTGTGCTTGGAAACTTAACTTATGAAATAATTCATTTGATGTGTAGACAAGTCTTATAATTTACATGCTGTTGGTTTTATGTAATGAATAGATTTTAAGATATTGGACTTCAATGGTCATTTTACATGAAAACCTAGTTGTTGAGAACTCATTTAAAAAATTGAGTTTAAGCCAATTCAATAGAAAAGAAAACATTAGATGATCAAACATATGAAAACATACTCAGCCTAACCCATAAGAAAAATGCAAATTAAAACAGCTCTGCATACCACATTTCGTCTACTAGATTAACAGAGACCAAAATATTTGGTAACATACTACGTTGGCATGAGTGTATGGAAACAGGCAACCTTTTCATTGCTCGTGGAAATGTATATGGAACTGTTATTTTAGAAAGCAGTATTTATCAACATTACAAGTGTTCATATTCTTTGACACAGCAAATTCCCTTCTTGAAATTTATCCTATAAATATACTTGTATATGTGCAAAATGATGTTTGTACAGGGTCATTCACTGCAGCACTGTTGATAATAGTAAAATATTATAAATGACCTAATGGTCAACCACTGATTAAATTATGATACAAGTACACAGTGTAGTACTTTGCAGCTCTAAAAAGATAAAGTCTTTATGAACTGATACGAAATTATTGCTATAATATATACATATAAACATATCTTTATGAAAGGCATATATGAGATTATATATATACAACTCTTAAAAATATGTGAGTATATCTATATCTACATCTAATATATGTGTGAAAATGGGCTTTAATACCTTTACATGAAAAAGCAAGGTCTAGAACAGTGAGTAGAGTGTGCTATCATTTTATCAGTGAGGAGGGAAATAATATTTCTGGAAAGAATCACAGTAAGTTGCTAATATAGGAGGGAAGCTGGGTGTTAGGGTTGGAGGAAGACTTTACTTTTGTATATTCTTTTGTAATCCTGAAATAAAAACATTTCCCTAGTATTCTGCATACAAAAGATATTTATAACATCTATCTATTTGTCTTAGCATATAGTTTATTCATTTTTATGGTCCTATAGTCACTTTTTGGTTAGTGCTTTTGGGTTGTTGTGAAATTGTTCCCTCCTCAAAGGTCATAAAGGTATTTTCCTAAATTATAGAAGACTTTAAGTTTTTCCATTTACATGTAAGTCCTTAGTCCTTCTAGATTTGATTGTGTATGTGTGAGATAGGGATTTAAATATACTTTCCCCTATGAATAATCACTTGTCTTAGCAACACTTACTAAATTCTTTGCACAATGACTTGCAATAACATCTCTCTCAAATTTCAGATATCCATATGTGCATGGGTCTGTTGCTGGGCTGTTTATTGTTTCATTAGTCTGTCTTTCTATACTTGTGCCAATGCCGAAGTCTCTTAATTACCATAGCTTTATGACAAGTCTTGATCTCTGGTAAGGCAGTTCCCTCCACTTTGTTCTTATCCTTCAGAAGTACCTTCGGCAACTCTGTGAATGTATTATCTATAAAAAAGAAAAAAGAAGAAGAAGAAAGTTTAATTTAAGAAAAATTCAGCATGTATATACTTAATCCGTAATACGAGAGCTAACCCACTCTGTTGAGGTTAAACTAGATTAAACTGAAAATAAATGAAGACAAAATTCTTCAATTAGATGTTTTTATTTGGCTTTAGTTTCAAGAAGTGCCGTTTTCTCTTTTACACCTTTTAGAGAATGATTAACAATCACAAACTATTGAATATTTTTGTTTTAAAAAACATCGAGAATGTAAAAACTATGAATGTAATGATTAATATTAATATTTTACTTTTTTTTTCTTTCAAGTCTTGATACATCATCAAAGGCATAGTCTTTCCAAGTTGGCTTCTCAGATGTCTCTTTATCCTTGCTCTGTATGTGTTCTGGTGCCCAACAGACATTTTGCTGCTGCTGTGAAGTAAGTATTTTTTTTTTTAGTTATTTCATTTGCTATCATTTAAATCTTTTATTAAAAACTATTTTTCTTGGTACCATAATGACACACAGAAATAGTTGTAAAAGTTTATCATCTCTGCTTCTTTGTCCTAATAGTCCTGAAGGAGAGATATGACTTCTTAGAATAGTACTTCACATTTATTGAGCACTAACATTCAATAACCAATTTAATCCCTCCAGCAACCTTATATGGAAGCCATTGCTATGCTTTTTTTAGAGATGAAAAGCAAGGCACCAATAGATTATGTAACTTGCCCAAGGTCACAGAGCTAGTAAATGTTGGAGCAAGGATTTTGTGACATAATAAGAAGTATTTATGTTGGTCTCTGCCACCCGTTCCTGACATAGAGCTCCTAAAATCCTTGTCATCTCCTGAGTGATAGGGATGCCAGGAGCATTTTTCAAAAATATTTGGCCTTTGATCTAGTTCCTGATACAGAGCTCCTAAAACCCTTAAAATTTCCTAGGTGATAGGAGTGTTACTATTCTAATGAGGCAGCTCTTGGTGGGCTCCTGGATGAGGACTGGTCACCAGAAAGACCAAACCATGAATAAAGGCTTGGAATTTTTAGCCCTACCTCCCACCTTCCAGGGAGGAGAGCAGGGATAGAGATTGAGTTTATAATTGATCATACCCACATGATGAAGCCTCCATAAAAATCCCTGAACTATGGGGTTTGGAGAGGTTGGCTGGTGAACACATCCATGTGCTGGAAGGGTGGTGCACCCAAACCCACTGGGGACAAGTTCCTAGACCTCGTCTTATGTGTCTGTTCATCTGTATTCTTTATTATGTCCTATGTTGTATAATAAACCAGTAAATACTGTTTCTTTGAGTTCTGCAAGCTGTTCTAGTAAATTTTGAAGTGTGAGGAGGGGGTTCTGGGACCCCCAATGTATAGGTGTTGGCCAGAAGTACCAGATGGCCGGACTTGCAGTTGGCAGCTGAAGCGGAGGTAGTCTTGTGGGACTGATTCCTTAATTTGTGGGATCTGGTGTTTAATCCAGATAGATAGTGTCAGAGTTGTACTGAATTGTAGGATATCCAGCTAATGTCAGATAATTGGAGGCTGTGGGAAAAAATCTACACATAAAACACACAAAATTTAGTGTCAGAATTGTTGTCTGTAGAGGAAAATAGCTTTCTAACCATAAACACTGTCCTGTATCTCACTTGTGTGCTTCTTACATAATGTATCTTGGGGATTGTTCCAGATGGAGCTGTTGTTTTTTAAAAATTGAGATATAATTGACATATTAGTTTCAGGTATGCAACATAATTATTTGATATTTGTATATATTGGGAAATGCTCAACACAATAAGTCTAGTTAACATCCATCATCATAAAATTTCTTTTTCTTGTGATGAGAACTTTTAAGATTTACTCTCTTAGCAACTTTCAAATATACATTATAATATTACTGATTATAGTCACCGTGCTGTATATTATCCATGACTTATTTATTTTATAACTGGAAATTTGTACCTTTTGACCATTTGAGCCTGTTTTATCTGCACCCCACCTCCTGCCTTTGGGAGTCACTAATGTGCTCTCTGCATCTGTAAGTGTGTTTTTTTTTTTCAGATTACACTTATAAGTGAAGTCATATGGTATTTGTCTTTCTTTGTTGACTTATTTCACTTAGCAAAAGTGAAAATTTCTCCGTGTTGTCGCAAACAGCAAGATTTCGTTCTTTTTATGGCTGAATAGTATGTGTGTGTGTGTGTGTGTGTGTGTATGTATGACATTTTCTTTATCCATTCATCCATCAGTGGACTCTCACATTGCTTTCATGTCTTGGTTACTGTAAATAGTGTACAATGAACATGGATATAATATTTCATTGTGTGAATATACCGTAACGTACTGAACCATTACCCTATCGATACGCATTTATCTTTCCAGTCTTTTACTATTACAAATTCACCTTGCAGTGAATAATCATGTACGTAGATCTTGTCAAATATTATGAATATACTTGTAGTACAAACTCAGAAATAGAATTGAATCAAAAGATGTGTGCATTCGTAATTTTGATAGGTAACACTAAATTGCCTTCATAGAGATTTTGCCAATTTGTGGGCTTACTAGCAAGTAATATTAGAATGCCTATTTTCCCACATATGTATAATCAAAATTTTTGAACTTTGCCTATTTGATAGGTACTAAATGGTATCATCTTGGTTTTAATTTGTATTTTTTATTATTATTGAGGTCGTTTATATGTTTAAAAGCCTTTTATATTTTCTTTACTGTCAATTTTCTGTTCATGTCTTATTCCCATTTTTTTGTTGTTGATTAGTAGAAGCTGTTTATACATTATCAGTCAGCACATATCTGCACTATAACTTTTTTTTGACAACCTCCCTTGCACTATAATTTTAATGTGTTTTAACTATTATAGTAGAGGAATGGACCAAATTTTATGGAATCACAGATGGAAGGTTAGTTAATTTTTCCTGGAGGAGAATACGGCAAGAAGTATTTGAGGTGATTCCTGAAAGATAGATGGAATCTTGCAGAATTGAGAGAAAGGTATTTCAGTGGTGCAAAGACATAGAAGTGAATGATATGGTTTGAATACAGGATGGAAAGAGAGGAGGCAGGAATGTAACTAGAATAGAAGCTTTCTTTGAGTCTGTATAGTACCTGGATTCTTTTTTGTTGTTGAAAAGTTGGAGGAGTAATGGATGTACCAATTTACATCCCTACCCAGCAGTGAGTGAGAGTGCCCACGTTTTTAACATATATATATATATACACACACACACACACACACATATACACACATACATACATACATATACACACACACCCATGGTTTGCCAGAAGCACCTCTGACTGTTTCTGCTTCTCTCTTTTTCTTTTTTTTTAATGTTTTTTATTAATTTATAGTCATTTTACAACTTTGTGTCAAATTCCAGTGTAGAGCACAATTTTTCAGTTATACATGAACATATATATGTTCATTATCACAGTTTTTTCTCTGTGAGCTACCATACCATAAGATCTTGTGTATATTTCCCTGTGCTTTACAGTATAATCTTGTTTATCTATTCTACAATTTTAAAATCCCATCTATCCCTTCCCACCCTCCACCCCCTTGGCAACACAAGTTTGTATTCTATGTCTATGAATCTATTTCTGTTTTGTATTTATGCTTTGGTTTTTTGTTTTTGTTTTTTAGATTCCACATATGAGCGATCTCATATGGTATTTTTCTTTCTCTTTCTGGCTTACTTCACTTAGAATGACATTCTCCCGGAACATCCATGCTGGTGCAAATGGCGTTATGTTGTCAGTTTTTATGGCTGAATAGTATTCCATTGTATAAATATACCACATCTTCTTTATCCAGTCATCTGTTGATGGACATTTAGGCTGTTTCCATGTGTTGGCTATTGTAAATAGTGCTGCTATGAACATTGGGGTGCAGGTGTCATTTTGAAGTAGGCTTCCTTCTGGATATATGCCCAGGAGTGGGATTCCTGGGTCATATGGTAAGTCTATTCCTAGTCTTTTGAGGAATCTCCATACTGTTTTCCACAGTGGCTGCACCAAACTGCATTCCCACCAGCAGTGTAGAAAGGTTCCTTATTCTCCACAGCCTCTCCAGCAGTTGTCATTTGTGGACTTTTGAATGGTGACCATTCTGACTGGTGTGAGGTGATACTTCATTGTAGTTTTGATTTGCATTTCTCTGATAATTAGTGATATTGAGCATTTTTTCATGTGCCTATTGATCATTTGTATTTCTTCATTGGAGAATTGCTTGTTTAGGTCTTCTGCCCATTTTTGGATTGGGTCGTTTGTTTTTTCTTATTAAGTTGTATGAGCTGCTTATGTATTCTGGGGATCCAAGCCTTTGTCATTTTCATTTGCAAAAATTTTCTCCCATTCCGTAAGTTGTCTTTTTGGTTTACTTATGGTTTCCTTTGCTGTACAGAAGCTTGTAAGTTTCATTAGGTCCCATTTATTTATTCTTGTTTTTATTTCTATTGCTTGGGTAGACTGTCCTAGGAGAATATTTTTGAGATATATGTCAGATAATGTCTTGCCTATATTTTCTTCTAGGAGGTTTATTGTATCTTGTCTTATGTTTAAGTCTTTAATCCATTTTGTGTTGATTTTTGTGTATGGTGTAAGGGAGT